AAATAATTTATTCATAACATTTATGAATTATTTTCTATAATTTTAATTATTTGGTACATAACGTAACGCTACTTAAGAACCGGTACATTAGCCAATTCCAGCCCAACGAATGTTCCAAAAGCATTATTTGCAAATTCCATTTTTCTTGTGTTTTCTTCGGCATACGTTTGGGTACTGCTTTCAGTAAATTCAATTGTTTTTAATGTATCACGGGCTTCGTAATCCTTGTATTGGTCTAAATTTTGAGAGTTTGGCTCAAATATATTATACGAGTCTTAATCAACTCGGTATTCTGTAATATATAAAAACACAAATTTGTAATTAGTAAGAACCTAGACTTTAAAAAAATAGTTTATATAATATATGTACATTACAAGTATTTAAAAACATACTTGAGAAAGAGGCTGCTGCTATTACCCTTTGAAAACCCAAAAAATCTAGAGAAAAACAAAGATTTTAACAAGTATATGTAAACAGATCAATTACCGCCTTCATTGAGTCGATTTTTCTGAAGAGGGACTATCACATTGGGTTTTATCGTTATTTGGCTCCGTTTCTGGTACTATTTCAGCTTTTTATAAAATTAATTAAAAATAAAAGTAAATGTAAAATAGTTATCTATATATAAAACGTCACTAAAATCAATTTTTAAATAAAATATACAATCATAAAAAGAAAAATAAATACTTACGTTTGTGACGGTTCATTATATATTTTAATAAGTAAACGTGCACAGGTAGGAGTATGAAACTTTAAATTAACATTGTTTTGCAGAGCTACACGAATTTAGAAACAAATAGGTATATTCCCCCACCCTTTCTTCATCACCAGTTAAAAAGTAAGTTTCGGGATAATCACGTAAAACGATGTGGTAACCCTTTCGTTAGGGTTAATTTTATAGTAGGGCTATCATTACAAATGATTAACACATTTCATTTGCTTAAAGGTAGGTTACACATTTAATGGGTAACAAGGTTTTTCTACGTTCATTTTGAATGGGTAACCGTTTTTTTTTGGCTTAACTCTAAACCCGGGTTTTACGGTCCCTGTTTGTGCTACCTAATTAGTTTCAGCAAAACAAGATTAATGCACAGTGATTTGAATAAAAAAATGATTATTGCTCTAGAGCATATAACAAAACCTGACTTTTCCAATCAGGATTAGAACTAGATTATCCCATTTCAAATTTTGGATTCATTCAAAACATATTATTACAACATTTTTGAATCCTGTACAAAGCAATGTCTACTGTTGTCGTCTACAATAATGCATCAAAATTTCGGGTAAAAAACATAGATACATAACTACAAAACTATTTTCTCAGATTGTGAAAAAACACAAAAAGTGGAATAGTCAAGTTTTGAAAAGAACCTCCTCAATTATTGATCTGCTTTCGCTCCATTCACACAATTTATAAAACCACACCTACTGAAGTATAATGTAGCCTATTTTACTCAGAGGTAAGATAACTGGCTGTCACTCAGAGATAGCTTCATATCTGTAGTTTCCAAGTTTACCCCCTACATATATGCGCAGAAACTTTACCACTTTATAATATTTATAGTGGTGTTTAACTTAAATGATAAATGTATAGGTACATATAGATACAAAGACAAAACAGTAATCCACCCTTTTTTTCGCTGTTTATCAATCGATTTTCGTTTTTTTTGTGTTTATTGACGAGCATTATTAGTGTTATAAGTAAGCATTTTTTGGAAACAGATTTTTTTACTAACCGACTTCCAAAAACGAGGAGGTTCAAAATTCGTCGGAATCTTTTTTTTAATGTATGTTCACCGATTACTCGAAGACGCCTGAACCGATTTGTAAATTTTTTGTTTTGTTTGAAAAGGTATACTTCCCCGGTAGTCCCATTTAAATTTTATCGAAATCGGTCGAGCAGTTTTAAATAAAATCAACTATAAATATTTTCTTTAAGCAAATTGTTTAATCGAATATGTTATTAAAAACTTTCTTCTTACAAATTACCTGCTTATTACGTTTACACTAAAAATATAAAAAAATAAAAACTTAAAAAAAAAAACCGACTTCCTGGCACTAAAATCAGATATTTTCGAAGTCGGTGCCAGCGGACAATATTTTAAGATATGAATTTCTAATAGGTAAATATGTATTTTACGTATCAAAATATATTAGATTTCCTATGCGTCGGCTGGCACCGACTTCGAAAATATCTGATTAGGTATCTATTCTAAATAAAAACCCCCGTTTAGTTATTTTTTACATTTTAGTGCCTGGAAGTTATAGCGCGATAAAAAAAACGTACATCCAAATCTAGTACGTCCTTTATTGTCAGTCAAGTCATACCATAAATAATATATGTAGTAGGTATATAAATCGGTGCGTCCCTACTTTAATTTTCTTGAGCGGAACCCTAATTATTTAAAAAAAAAATAGCCTAAGTTACTCTTTCTACATACCATCAGCTACCTGCCAGTGAATGTTCCGTCAAATTATTCCAGCCGTTTCGGAGATTAGTTGGAACAAACAGACAGACAGACAAAAATTTTAAAATGTTTTTCTTGTAAGTACCGTTAATAATTTCATATAAATTTAGTAAAAAGCTGTTATTTTGATATTACAAATGAACCCTAATTTTATTTATCTGTGTATATTATGAGAATGCTTCGTAAAACCAACCGAATCCACGATGTAACAGTCTGCATTAGATGCTGCGGGTACCTCAGACTATTTATTTACTTCTGTTGTATTGTGTTTTTGTTAAGTTTTGGTCACGCAACCTTTATTATGATCATTATTTATGAATCATACGTTATTGTAGCGTCAACGACTCTAATATCAAGGTCTCAATGACAAAGGATGAAATACCTATTATAGTTAAAGATACGTAGATCTAGTAAGTTAAAGGCGATATGAAAAAGTGGAAAAGAGACTGGTCGATTACCATATGAAATTTTTAATGAATATTTTATGAAAGGCAAAAAATCATATAATAAGTATTGTATGTTACTAGTGTTTAATAGCGGAAACCTTCATATAAAAAAAATCAGAAGACTATCTATCCAAAATAAACAAAGTTGAAAGGTTGAGTAGAAAAGGGCAGAGACTGAATTAATATGGAGGCGAGGGCATTTCAGTAGTGAGGCTCTTTATTGCAAACTAAGGATTTTTTGGACTTTTTTGTATTTTGTCAAATTTACGAAGCCACAATTTCATACATATAATAGAACGAATTTGGTATCACATTCTCAAATGAGGATAGAACACGACAACATCGGTTGTCCACACCTAAATTTGGCTCTGGATATAATAATATCCTCCTCAGCAATTTCGTTCATGGCGGCCAATCTCAATAAGACTAGCGCAGGAGATACTAAAAAGCACAAATATGCGCAAATATAAAGCCCATTTCTGTCACCCTCATACTCCGGAAAGACGATTGTTCAACATGAAAAATGAGTGGGCATACACAGGGCAGGACCGACAGCTTTACCTGCTCTTCGAAGCACGGGGTTGTAACACTGCCAATTTCCCATTTCCTTGCGTGTTACTGAGAAGTACTAAATAGAATATCAATAACTGTTTTTGATTCAACTCGGAAATCGAACCCAGGACCAGGCGTACATGTTAGCACTAGACCAAAGAGCAGTAGTTTGTCCTGAGTATACGTTATCAATGATCAAGATAAATGAACATACTCATACTAAACACACTTAGCTAGTTTAAAATCATAGATCTATATATACATTTTAAGTATACACAGTAATACTATAACGTATTCGAACTCGCTACAAGTTTAAAGTGCATTCGTTCCTTAACTTTGCTAGAGTGAGAAATACAAAAGGCAATGTGTAAAGTCCGATTTCAACAGAAGTTCTAACATCATGTACAAAGATTCTTTCTTCAAGAAAAAGTATATTATACTAACTTCTTCTTTACGTGATACAAAAGTTCAGTTGAATTTAGATGGATTTTTCATTTTATCATTTTTTATTACTAACTCTGCTCTCAAGATTGCTTTTAGGTAATGTTAAGGAATTAGCTATGTAGTATTAGTATGTGCAAAAAATACTTCACGACATATACAGAAGAAATTATTTGTTGTTATTATTATATATAAAAAAGGGATATTTTATTATTGGATCTTATTATCGTCCGTTAATTCAGCCGGGCGCGAAACCAAAAAACGCACTGGGAGGAGGCCCACCACGGTGGGTGTACCATGCGGATTGCCTCTGTTATTTCTTTGATAGCAGAGTGGTCTGTTGAAGCAACCCCATGGTTGTTGTGGTCTGTTGTTGGTTGTTGGTTCGTTGTTGAGTGCGTAAGCAATTCTGCGATGCCCTATAATGACAGGGGAGGTTCTGTTGGGTTTTCGTGGGTAGTACTGGCTTTTCTAGTCGGTTAGTCCCACGTAAGCACCTGTACCTATACCTTACCCTACATACGTAGGTGGCATGTCTAAATGCATATGTATGTATTAGTATTTCTATCTATACAGATAAATAAAATTAAAGTGTCTGTTTGTAATAGGCATATGAAATAATATACGGTACTTATAAGAAAAAGACATTTTTTTAATTTTTTATCTGTCTGTCTGTCGGTCTGTGATTTTGACGGGACTTCCACTGGAAGATAGCTGATATTATAGGGTGTAACATAAACTATTTTATTTTAGCAAAAGAATTAGGGTTTCGTGCAAAAAAAAATTAAAACGAACCTACCTCGCTAGTCACTCTATATTAATCTCCTTTATTTAATAATCAAATCTTAATCGCATATCTTGTTAGTCTAGTATTGTTTTTTTTTTAAATCAGTAGAGTATTACGGCGATCTATATTATTAATTAAAAATAATATTTAATGTAATATACACTTTTGCAATAGATAAAAATAATAAACTTTATAGGTATGCATATTATAGTACAGAATAACAGAGAAATTCAAAAAATTCTATTTCATACTAACCGTTAAAACGTACCCAGGGACGAACCCGAGCGAAGCGAGGGTGAGTCGTTAGTTTTTTTGTAAAAGCCTAGAGAAAATAATAAATAATTAAAAATATTTATTAATGAAAATATAATAAAAAATAAAAAAAATGTTTCAAATACTATAAAAATCCATATTGTTTCCCTTAAACTCAGTGTATAATTAGATTACGCTGTATAATAATCTAATAATAATCGTAGTTTTACATCTCAAAATACTGTCATTCAGATCTATTATATGCATACGTACGAACTACGATTACATATATATATTAAGCATTCAGTCATGCCCTAGTAAAATATAAATATTAAATATACTTCACTTTAATCTTTATACAAAATATGAAATGAAAATTTAAATCATTCGTATTATCTTGTCTATATAAAACAAAAACTTAATAATTAAAATCTAAAAATCCGCTGAATTATTAGTAGGAATGTTTAAAAACAGGGAATGCCAAATATACTCGTACATACAAACATAGATACTATAATTATTATTTATTTATTTATATGGTTATAGAACTTGAGGCCAGACCTAATGTAGTTTATAATTTTTAATATTATAGTATAAGAAAGAATATTTATATATTATAATAAAAATTGTATATTTTAAATAAAAAATTATATAATATTTAAACATTACAACCATCTTCCTCACTAGACTAATATAGCATTTCTTTTAAACATACATAATTAATAAGCAAATGATTCCAAAAACTTTGTTCTGGTTCAGGTTCAGGCTCCGGTTCGGGCTCGGCTCTGGTTCAAGCTCTGGTTCAGGCTCTGGCTCAGGTTTGGGTTCTGGTTCCGGCTCCGGCTTTGGTTCAGGATCAGGCTCTGGCTCAGGCTCTGGTTCAGGTTCGGGCTCCGGTTCGGGCTCAGGTTCGGGCTCCGGTTCAGGCTCAGGTTCGGGCTCCGGATCGGGCTCAGGCTCCGGTTCGGGTTCGGGCTCTGGTTCGGGCTCCGGTTCAGGTTCAGGTTCTGGTTCTGGTTCAGGGTCTGGGTCTGGTTGAGGTTCAGGCTCGGGTTCCGGTTCAGGCTCTGGATCAGGTTCCGGCTCGGGCTCTGGTTCAGGTTCTGGCTCAGGCTCCGGTTCAGGTTCTGGTTCTGGTTCAGGGTCTGGGTCTGGTTGAGGTTTAGGCTCGGGTTCAGGTTCTGGTTCTGGTTCAGGGTCTGGGTCTGGTTGAGGTTCAGGCTCGGGTTCTGGTTCAGGCTCTGGATCAGGTTCCGGCTCGGGCTCTGGTTCAGGTTCTGGCTCAGGCTCCGGTTCAGGTTCTGGTTCTGGTTCAGGGTCTGGGTCTGGTTGAGGTTCAGGCTCGGGTTCTGGTTCAGGCTCTGGATCAGGTTCCGGCTCGGGCTCTGGTTCAGGTTCTGGCTCAGGCTCCGGTTCGGGTTCGGGCTCTGGTTCAGGCTCCGGCTCCGGTTCGGGTTCAGGTTCAGGTTCAGGTTCTGGTTCTGGTTCAGGGTCTGGATCTGGTTGAGGTTCGGGCTCTGGTTCCGGTTCAGGCTCTGGTTCAGGTTCTGGCTCCGGTTCGGGTTCGGGCTCTGGTTCAGGCTCAGGCTCAGGCTCCGGCTCCGGTTCCGGTTCTGGTTCTGGTTCAGGTTCTGGCTCTGGCTGAGGTTCAGGCTCGGGTTCAGGCTTGGGTTCCGGTTCAGGCTCTGGCTTAGGTTCTGGCTCTGGCTCAGGTTCTGGCTCAGGGTCAGGCTTTGGTTCAGGCTCAGGCTCCGGTTCGGGTTCGGGCTCTGGTTCCGGCTTAGGTTCGGGCTCAGGTTCTGGATCGGGCTCAGGTTCAGGTTCGGGCTCTGGTTCAGGATCCGGCTCAGGCTCTGGCTCAGGTTCTGGCTCAGGCTCAGGCTTTGGTTCAGGCTCAGGCTCCGGTTCGGGTTCGGGCTCTGGTTCAGGCTCAGGCTCCGGTTTGGGTTCAGGATCCGGCTCTGATTTAGGTTCAGGCTCCGGCTCTGGTTTAGGTTCATGCTCTGGGTCTGATTTGGGGTCAGGCGCGGGCTCTGGTTCAGGTCGGGGTTCTAAATCTTCATTATTGTTATAAATATTTTTTTCCATTTTGGATAATATTTGACCTGATAATATTTCACTGTTTATTGATTCAATATCTGTTAAGTTTATTATTGAACTTAAATTGTCTGTATTACGCTTGAACTTTTTCTTGGTATGAATATAAGAACTAATCGGTGATACCAGTAACTGAGGTTTAAACAAGTTAATTCCATTTTTGGGTTCCGTAAGTCTTTTATTGGGTTTAAAGAGTGAAAATGAATCTATTAAAATAACTTCTCCGTTGTTTCTACTTGCTAAAAAGTTGATCTGAAAATGATATTATAATTATTAGTTCAAACCATCAATAGAGAGAAAAAATTACCAAGTAAGTATTTACCAAAATCACAAAATAATCTTAACCTCCTCTACTTCATTATATTCATTATTGTAATAAAATGTAGCTAATTTTGATATAAAATTTAGTTCAAATTACTTTAGTTTGTTCATGAGTTTTTGACGTAAGTAGGTCTTTAAATTTGCTTCCATAGCAAGAGGCAATATAGAAAAGTGATGATAACAAAATCGGCCCATCTTTTGTACAATGTTCCACTTATTCAACAGAAGAAAGATTTTTGAGTTACAGTTTGTTGTAAGCTACTAGATTTCGTTTCTCTAGTGGAAATCTTACGTTATTGTAGAAGGGAAAATTTGTACGTTGTGCCTATATTCTGTGTATTTTGTGAGTGTCCAATTTTGGACCTTCAACGCAGATTTTAGCATTTGACAAATATAAGTATATCTGAATTCTTTTTTAAAATTTCTTACTCAACTCACAGGCCACTTGTTTATATTGTTGTACAGTTAATATCCGAGAACATAATTTTTAAGTTTTTTAAGTTAATTCCTAAAATTATAAGAAAATCGAATTGATTGAAAATAGTTATAGTTCATGCACTTTCATTTAATGCCATGTAAAGACAAGTACCTATAAGAATAGAAATATCTACAATAACATTTAATATACATAGGTATATTAAAATACAATAAAATATGTCAAATGTAATTGAATGCTATTGTTTATTAGCCTCTTAGAGAGGGTAAAGAGGTGGGTAAACATACTTTTAGATTTTCTATTTAATTAGGGGGGTGAATTTTTTCACTTTTTTTTTATTGAAAATCTTGTTATTAAAGCTAAATCGTAGACAGACCATGTAAGAGAAAGTATCGTCATGAGTAAAACAATCACTAAAAATAAATTATTATTATCGATCAAGATATTTGAGCATTTAATATTAGAAAGTCGTAATTGCAATGGATTGCTATCATTGAGATGATTAAAGGAAAAATAGAAGACAACATACTCGTAAAAGATAGGAAGAGTAAAAATGATGTAAAAAATTGTCTTTAGGGATAGTAGGAGGTTAGAGGAGGCCTTTATCTGAACTATGTGATATTCTATAAGTATACAATCTATATCTAAATATATCGATCGATCAATATTAATTATATGTGTAAGATACTTTATATAATAAGCCTAGTTTACATAATACTTTCTTAGATTAACGCGAATATTTGACATTTTAAATAAAACTATCTTTACGGATTTTGTCGCGGATTTATTTGCATTTTTGTAAAAGTATATAGTAATAGTGTTGCTTAGTAAATAGTTTTTAAATAATAGCAAACTAAAAATAATGGCAACACTAAATATAGATTACTAATTAATAATTTAAAATTGAAATAATTATAATAATAACAGCAAAATTAAATAAATAATAATCCATATTCAATTATAAAACTAATTAAAATTATAAAAATGTTTAAAGTTAAAAAATATTGTAAGGTAATTAGTGAAATTTTCATTTTCTTAAATTTGGGTAGGCTGTCTGTAACAACTATACCTTCGAGGCATGTAACACCTCAGTCTCTCCCGTGACCATGAATGCTGTAAAGCATTCAAAACGTCGGGAAACAAAAATGCAAATAAATAATATATAAGAAAATAAATATATAATAAGAAAAGATAGTTTTATTTAAAATAATAAGCCTAGTTTATTTTCATTCAATGTACATATATTTATGCCATTTAGATTAAATTTGGAACTATTTTGCAATATATTCTAGATTAAAAAATGTTTTTTAAAATAATAGAAAATAGGCATCTCATTATCTATACATATAATAAAATTCTAACTGAGCCGAAGCTGTTCATAAAATATCGATAATCGATCGAGTTTTCAGCCTGTATGCCTACATACAGGCTGAAAACTCGATCGATTATATATCGATTATATAGTTTGTATCATAGAAAGAAAAAAAGAGAAAATAGTTTTCTGAAAATGTAAGTTTCTTACAGAACTGATTACGATAGTTGGTCAATTATTTTTTTTTTGCAAATATTTACGATTATTTCTTATTTTTAATTCATTGTCATTTTGTCAAATGTTGTTTATACTTACATATCCAAAAACTTTATGTTTAAAGCGAATTGCAATTGTATTCCATCCTTCTTTGTAGTCTTGACTTAATCTATTCTTTTCATAACTTTTTATAGGAACATCAAATTCATTAAAAATGGTCACTCTTAGTGCACTTTCATTCGATGATAAATGAAGGTATACAGTTGCTTCGAGAGATGTGAAATTTGTTGAAGGGGATGAAATACAACTTCGTGATGAAGCCTCCAGACATGTACTGTTCCCAGAATTTTTATTTGGTGGCAAAATGTTTATTTCTTCGTAATTCTTAAGTGACCACTTATTAACGTTTCCACAATTTCGACCGTCAAACTTCTCATAGATTTCAGTGTTAAAATAGATCTGTTGCTCATTTTCTGATTGTAAACTTTGCCCACTAAAAAGTACGAGGAATATGCCTACTTTAAACATTTTACTTTCATTTAGATTTACTTGAGTGTAGTGTCCCTACACCTTGTTACTGAACACAATCTCAAAATATACTGTTTAATTAATCGAGATTTCGTTACATATACTTCTGATATCATTTCATACCTTTTAGTTTACTAAGTGCATTTCTTTTGAAGTTAAGTGTCCACAAGTACTTATAGATGATAACAAAATTATAGCAATAATATGGTGTAAGATTTGAGTCATAAATAGGTAAAATAACTATTTTTATAGAAACTTCTTAACTTTAAAGTTGAAAAATGCAATATCAAACTATGCCATCTGATAAAAGATGTGGTGACTTACACGGGCAAGAAAAACCATTATCACTCATACTCATCTTTATCAGAATCTACCCCAACTGAATGGAATGCCACAAGAAAAATGAAAAAGGTCGAGAACCTAGGTTTTGACTAGATAAAACCTTATTGCTAAATATTGGGATTACCATCCTGTCCTGTCACTGTCGTGATTGTGATCTGTGATCTCAGTAGTTCTCTGGCACTTTAGAAGGCCGTGGGTAGCTTCTGGTAACAAGTGAATAAGACCAATCCCCTGATTCTTGTAGAGCGTCCTCTACACAGGAGGTCTCGCTATATAGTTCAACCGGATTTCGGGTTTGGGAACAAAATATTGAAAACGTGAAGTTTTATGATTTTAAAATGTTAGCAGGTATATAAGGAATAGAAATTTGTAAAATGCCCCCGATGCCCTCCAAAAATGGGGGACGCAAAGCGTTGCAAAATAGTTTTTTTCAATTTCCGGCTTATTGTGACGTTCTATCGAAAAATATTTCTACAAAAGTTGTAGGTCTAGTAAAAATTACATCTATATCTATATATATATATATATATATATATATATATATATATATATATATAGATTACTTTTATGTCTGGGAAAACGCGTGTTTTCGAGTTTTCATGCGGTTTATTTCGCATTATTCCACGCAAAATATGGTCGCTAATTCGCACGTTAGGACATAATTATCGTGGTCAAGCGGCCAAGACGCAAGTTTGACAACCACAGGTTTCTGGGTTCGTATGTCGGTGGGATACAAAGTTTTTATATTTGTTTTTTTTTGTATTAATTCAAATTTTTAGTTTGTTTTTTTTTTGGCCAAAAACACTGAGCGAAGCTCGGTCGCCCAGGTACTAACGATTATTACAGGAAAAGTGTTTCATTGTTTTACAATAAATTGTTTGCATAGAATACTAAACAAATAGGCTAAAATAGTTTAACACCACTCACAGACGGTATGCATAAATGCATTCCCAATGTTAAAAATGAATTCGTATATCTATTATTAATTTTTGGTTATTTGATTTACTTTTTAATCTATTACTAATTGCCGTGTTAAATCATAGTATATACATATATTGTATTTTTATCGCGGCAAATATTTATTGACTATAATCACTATTGAAGCACCACTTATTCCTTTGTTAATCAAACTATACACTATAGTAGTATAGATATAAACGTTTGCGCATTATATTTCAAGCATTTGCAGTACGAATTGATAATGAAAGATTAATTTATCACCTACTATTAAAAATAACTATAAAATGAATAGTAAAAACATTTTTTAAAACAAGCTTTTATTTAAAAGCTCTAAAAAGAAGAAAATAATCTTTAAATAAAATCAAATCCAACAATTTATTACATCACACAATCAATGTGATATAAAAACTTGTCGCGAGATTTATCTATTTTAAATACATATTATTAGTAACTAAGCCGAATCTGTACATTAGATATTTTTTGGAAAATCTTATTGAAATAAACATTATCATCGATACAGAGACCGAATCTATAATTTTTAGAATTTTTGTCTGTCTGTCTGTCTGTTACCGCATCACAGAAAAACCACTGGAGGAATTTTGATGAAATTTGGTATGATGATAGCTGGTTATCTGGGTCAACATATAGATTACTTTTTACCGCGGGAAAATATCTCAATTCTGAGAAAAAATACAAAAACTACAATGTAAGAGTATATATAGTATCTTATAACGCCATCTATTGCGCAGTTTGTATTACAAGTACGATTTTATTAATTATATATTTATATAATATAACACCTTTCAATAATCATAAAAAACATAAAAAATTTCTGATAATACTTCTGTAAAGTATAGATAGATGGCGCTGTGATGATAATATGGGTAAATGTACTAAGACGTTCTTTTATACTCTCTCACTCCCTTTTAACCTTTATACTCTGTTCTCGACGTAGCAGGTTTGATTCTTAGTTAACGCAAAACTTAACACGCAAAAACAGTATTAAAGTTATATTATTTTCTACTATCTTTCTAAACATTGGTAAATTGTCCTCAAAACGGAAATACCATTAGGCCTTTTTATCACCGGACAGTAGAACAAATCATATCTTGATATATTTAATCCGTTTCTAGTAATACTGATTATATATGTTGATCTTGGCCTAGGTTTGTTATTTACCCCCCCAACGTGCGTTCACCTTGTCGTGGTGGGGGGGCTCAGTAGTGTACTCACGAAGCCAAGAAACGCACAGGGAGGTGGCCCGCTTCGGTGGGCGGTGGGAGGCGGCCTTCTTCGGAGGGTGGTATACCATGCGGGTTGCTCCTGGTACTTCTCTGATAGCAGAGTGGACCTTGGAGCAACCCCATGGTTGTTGTGGTCTGCTTCGGCAGACCTGCCGTCGGGGCGTCGTAGTTGAATGCGTAAGCGATCCTGCGACGCCCCATTAAGACGGGGGAAGGGTTTGTTGGGTTTTAGTGGGTAGTACTGGCTTTGCCGGTGAGTCCCACACATCGTGCGTAAATGCATTTCCCAACGTTAAAAAAAAATGGATGCTTATATTTATAATGTGTATTTATTTAAAATTATATACATGTGTAATATCAACTAACTGGTATCCATAACACAGGCCTCGTAGCTTACTATGGAACTAGATGGTGCTGTGTGCTGTGTGTTAAAGTCTCAACATATTTATTTATTCATTGCATAAGGACCATTAGGCCCACCCTGTGAGAGACCTACCTAAGTTTCTGTTCTGTTTCTGATCTGTTTGGCCCCATCTCTATCAGGTTATCTAATCTAAGATTTTGGTCTGAACAAAACTTAGCATTAACAATCTCTTTTAAACTTCATCGTATTTTAGATGAACTAGAGTTCATAAATAGATAGATAGATATCTATCTTTAAGCTTAACGTCTACGCATTTCGCGTCTATGTCAAGGTTAAGGCACTAAGAATTTTGATTAAGCTGTTATTTAATCAAAAATGATAAGTGCCACGTGTTCTATCAAATAGAGACATTATTATGAGATATTTTATTTTATTTTTATTTTTTATGTAATATCCAATGTGATAGATAAAGTAGCCTATCACTCAACCTACTAAGTACCTGTACCAAAATAAATATGCTAAACCGTTTTTCAAATTCTGCAAGTAAAAAGAAATAAACAAATTTACTAATAACCCTATAGGTTCCCTACAGTCACCCTCAACAATATTAGCAATCTCTTATCCGTTAGAAAGTTATATATACTTAACCTAACTTTACAATGTCATAAGTCACTTCCTTTTGATCAACATCTACAAAATAAAAGGAGAAATGACATAGTAGCTCCATATCACCATGTCCGCAGGGTCTTCGCCAAACGGCAATATGCTGTTCAGTCTGCCTTCGTGTACAATAAAGTTAACCGTATAATTAAAATGTATCCTATGACATTGCATAGTTTTAAAAAAATACTTATAGAATGGTTGAATACCCTCACTTACGAGGAAGTTGAGAACTTCATAACTATTGTAAGATGAGGACCTCCACACACACTTACACACATACACACACACACACGCACGCACGTACGCACGCACACACACTTAATCTGTACTGACTTAATTTCATTTATAATGTACATAGCTAAAATAAAATAATATATTACCTATAACTTGTATTCTTAACTAATATATAATATATATATATATATATATATATATATATATATATATATATATATATATATATATATATATATATATATATATATATATATAACAATTATATAGTTAATATTGTATATATATATTTGTATTATATTATCGATTACTTTGCTTGATGTTAAATAATAACTTTGATCGTGTAACTATCCTATATAAGTATTATATAGTTTTGTTCTTCACCTAACTTAATCATAGAGTATGCATATGAGAAGAAGCGGGCCATTCCCAACACAAGTATCCTCGGATTACTTACTGGGAAGACTCGAACACAAAATGTAAAGATGATTAAGAAATAAAAACTATTTTTTTATATAATAACTATCCGACTACTATACATCCAGGACGCATCCAGGCGAAGCCAGGGTAAGACGCTACTATTTTCATAGTGATAACTGCATTGTGAAGGATGACATATATCTTACAAATAATTCAACGAGTTCGGATTTCCGTATGGAACGTGCAATATCTATTCATGTGGTTCCATCTCTTGTTAAAGTTCCACTGCTGGGCACGGATCTCCCTTCAATACGAGGGGGATCAAGTTATAGTCCACCACACAGGTCAAGTGCGGATTGGCGGACTTCAGACGTCATTCGCTAGGTTCTCTCTGATATAGAGGTTTCCTCACGATGTTTTTCCTTTACCGTAAGACAAGTGGTAATCATGTTGGAAATGATTCGCACGTGAAAATATCAGAGGTGGAAGACCCGGGATTTGAACCCGCTTCACTTGGTTACCCAAGCGGGCGCGTTACCACTGGCAGTGCCGGATTCAATCCTACCGCCGCCCCTGGGCATAGTAAAAAATGCCGCCCAATTATCGAAATTTTGCATAAAATTGATAAAGTTTTGATAAGTTTTTTTTTTTCATTTTAATTAATTTTTTAAAAATTCAAATAATTTATTTATAAACGATTTCATTTTTTCTAAAAATGTACTAGTTATTTTTTTTAATTATTCATTTTTTGGAAAATAAAAAAAGCATTTTCGATAACGCGAAGAGAATTTTTTGTCTCACCATCCTAATTTTGCCGCCCCTAAAAATTTGCCGCCCTGGGCACTAGCCCCGAGTGCCCCTAGTGTAAACCCAGCGCTGACCACTGTCTTAATGTGAAGTAAACGTAGTGTATGTATGTGCATGGAACTAGCATCCACTATTTTAACGTAAAAAATGTTTATAAGCGTCAACTTTGAGCTACCGTATTACACTTTTATCAGTTCCTCATATTCATAAGCGATATAATCTGATAGCGAGTCGAGTATCATTTAAGTTCTTATCTAATTAATCTTTGATTTCTCATCATACTTTGTACATGCCTATAATGCCTACATTTGTACATGCCTATAATGTTATTTTATTAAAAATTTGAGCAGTTAAGTTTAGTTTTAAATTTGAGTAGTGTGTATTTTTTTACATAGCGTAGTTAAAGCATATCTTGAAATATCTAAAGGTAAAGCTAAAAATATCTTAAAAATCTAAAATTTCTTTTAAATCTTATCTTTCACGACATTCATAAGTTTATCTGTTAATATGATATGAACCACATTCTGGAAGGGTAATTGGAAAACACAATGATTTTGCGTCATTAAACATACTAGCTTTTTATTGCGGTGCTACATATAATTTACAGCACATATTTTAAAAAATACGTTGCAAATGCCGTGCAGTTTAAAAGTTTTTTTCAATAAACTATTACTAAACAAAATACACTTTTAAAATAACTTCAACTCCTCAACGACCGCGGACACGCCGGCGTTACAGTTAACAATAGATTTCTTAGAAATTTAATTATTTCACTCCAGCGGAATATTTTTATTAAATTTTTATGCTCCTCTTGAGGTACCTTTCATTAGTAAAAGATTTATGAAAATCGATTGACGAAGATATTCTGTAGCATACACAAAATAAATATATTAAACAGTAACTTCGTTGGTACCTCTTTTTTTTAATACGTCAAAAATAGCAAACACTTCGACCACTTTATTGCGAACTTGGGTTAGTACATACATTTAGATTTTGATAATAATATATTAAATGTTCAGCCAAATTCAGCCTTACACCATGCAATAATTCAATAATTAAAATATACTTCTATTTCAAAAGAGTGTAGTAATTATTACGGGTACTGTAACTGAAAAACGCCATCTAATATGTAGTAACATGTGGCTGTATGGTAGAAAGATCTTAATTTCTAAATTCGTATATACTTTCTCTTTGAGATTTAATTGGAATTTATGCCATGTCCAGTGTCCCCGAAATATCGGGGACTGAAGAAATAAAACAAAAACCGTGGGGAATATTCCGTTTCAAATCATAAAAATAATGTTAGTGACAATAAAAGATTAGAATTGAAGAGCAATTTTGAATTTATAAAAATTATAAATATATAATATATTAGGACAAATTACAAATGATTTATACTTGATGAAAGTACTACGCACGTCCATACTAATATTATAAATGTGAAAGAATGTTTGTTTGTTTGTTTGTTTGTTTGTTTGTTTGTTTGTTTGTTTGTTTGTTTGTTTGTTTGTTTGTTTGTTTGTTTGTTTGTTTGTTTGTTTGTTTGTTTGTTTGTTTGTATTTCTTGTACATCGAAACGGAGTGACGGATCGGCGTGATTTTTGTGTGGAGATAGTTGAAGGACTGAAGAGTGACATAGTTTACTTTTTACCGCGGAAAATTATTTAATTCCCACGGGAAAATACAATACAAAAAAATATATATATGTACAGAATTACTTGTAACTGTGTATTAATGCTTTTTAATAAAATTAAATAAAGACGTGTTTTAGCATTTTTCGAAATTCATCCTATAAGGGCCAAAATATTAGATGAAAGTTTGTATGAAATTTTTTTAGAGCTATTTTTGTACTTTTTGCGCGAGCGAAGCCGCGGGTTCTGCTAGTATGTATATAATTAAAACATAGTTGGTAGTACTCTATACATATATCTCGGATAGATGAAATAGAATATAACTAAATTAGACTTTGAATGAGGTAGATGTTTCTAAATTACTCAATAATTTCATAGTTACCGAGCTTTGTATTTCTTTGTAGTTTTTACTTTTTTAGAGATTATTTTGTAGTTTTAGCGCGAGCGAAGCCGTGCTGCCGTTCTGCTAGTAAAGTATAAACTTCGTAATATAAATATCTGATAAGAGCATGTTATATTTTGTTTATAGATCCTATACTTAGTTATCGATGTATAAATTAATTTGGATTAGCACACAAGGATTTGGTAAAGCGGAATTTAAAGACTCATTATATGGAATACCTTATCTACTTTTAGTATGTTTTAAAACATCATGTTAGGTGACGTTATCTTTACCAACCTGGCTTTACTTTATTGGCAAGTATTTTTGTATCACTTTAAGTATTTAGTTGGAATATAAACTAAGTGGTTATGGAATATTTATTAGAAACTAGCGGCTCACCCTCGTTTCGCTCGGGTTCGCTTCTAGACAAACAAAAACAAATCTATCCCACGGGAACCGTACATTTTTCTGGGATAAAAAGGAGACTATTTGCTATTCTGATGTATGAAATATATTATTGTAAGGTTTCATTAAAATCCAATCAGAAGTTTTAGTGTACTAAGTTGTATAAGTTACTATAGTTTTTAAACGATCCCATAGGAACTCTTTAATTTTACAGGATGAAAAGTATCCAAAATGTTAACCGGGGATATAACGTACCACCATGCAAAATTTCATTTTAATCGGTCCAACAGTTTCGGAGATTAGTCCGTACAAACAGACAAAGAGACAAACAGACAGGGAAACAAAAAAATTTAAAAAAATCTGGATTCGTCCTATTTCTCTTCTTACATCCCCTTGACTCAGTTTTCCTATCCTAAGAAAGTTGTCAACGTAAGACAGTTACCGACAACCACCTATCAGTATTCATTTGAAGGTTGAAAAAATATTTTCTTTTATACCTACACTAATATAAAGCTTAAGTTTGTAAGTTTGTATGTAGTGGGTAATCTTTGAAACTACTGATCTGATTCAGAAAATTCTTTCACTAAAAGAAAGCTACACTGCCGCCGAAAGCTTTTGGCTATTTTTAAATCCGATATAAATGTATTTCTGTAAAAAACCATAATAACTTTAATTATTAAAGTCAGAAAAAAAGACAGTTGAATTATCATCAGCATATCAGCCCTAACAATAGGGATGTAATGAAGTCAGCGGAAGTCTCTAGTATAGTAAAAAAAACTTGATTATATTAATTTTAATTTAATTTTTAATTTAATCATTTATTTTAGGCAATATTTACAAGAAGATCTTAATTTAATATGTAAACAGAGGCCCATAACATATATAACTTAAAAACTAATATATATTTATATTAGTTTTTAAGGTATATATGTTATGGGCCGCTCAACCGAAATCAGTATAAAAAATTTACATTGCTATCACGATATTTATTATTTATATACAGTATTGTTCGCCCAGTGGTGAAAAATCGCTACTAAATATCTTTTTACAAAGAGCTATTTAGAGCATATTTTAAATAGTATATTTTATTCTACAATAAAACAGAAATTGACTACAACATACAGGAGATAGTTATACGTAATATATACAAGCCACTTAACTATTTTTTGGAAGATTGTCGCAATATTTTTTCTTTCGTACCAATAACTTAAATAATTTATTTAACTTATAATTTAATTTATTTTAGTATATAAAATAAAGTAAATAGTGTAATATACTATATTTTACATCAAGTATAATATATTTTTTATTTTAAAATCTTAGTTATTTATTTATACGATACTATTAGGTAACAAAGATATAGTAATTTTAAAACAAAATTTTCTAACTTATTTTTTATAAAATTATATTTATTTTAAAAATAAATTAAAGATACTTTAAATATCTTTTAAGGTACATTTAGAAGATCGAAAATATCCTTTTTATATATTTTACGATAAATTACAAAAATGGCTTAACCTATGTAAATATTTGTATAAAAGTGAACTACGTATAATAATAAATATAACATATAACACGTTTATTTTTCATATAGCTAGAACACAGTAATGGTCATATTTGTGTTATAATTCTTTAATATTTTGTATATTTACTTTTTTCTATCTTTAATATACATATTATAAGGAAATTAAGTATATTTTTACTGCTACAACTTAAATATTATTTCCTCAGTTTTAGTCCTTTTGTTTCGCTGTCACATTATTAATATTAATTTTTTAACGCTATTTTATTATCTTTATAAGAGCTATGGACTTTTTTTGCAGGAATTTTATCTTTCCATATCCATTTATCAATGCATCTGATATCAGGAATATCGTAATTATCATTAGCAATTGGGATAAAATCTATTTCCTTTAATAATCAATAGCCAAAAATAATTATAATTATAATCAACTCTACTATTTACAGTATCTATACATTAGTATACTTAACACCTACTTAATGAATTGAGTATTCATCTCTTATGTTTCTACATGCACAAGTACATGTACATAAAAATACACATACATAAACCCTCAACACTTCATGCTCATTTTGGGTATTTATGTATGTAAAAAAATTAATCTAAACTTAATTTATAATCAGAAGTTACTTTACTAACTCTTGGTATTAGTGCCGGTATAGGAAGGTTTTCAAATTCTGGAAGAATGAGTTGTGACGATCTCCGTGATCTTCTTTTACCTATATAATAAGATATGACTGCAACGAGAGTGATTATAATTAATATTAGTAATATAACCATTGTTATTGTGTATGGATTCCAAAACCCACTTCTTTCAGAATTTGAAGGGGGTCCTTCAGAAGTAGTAGTTGTACTTATATAATCTGTCTCAGTAGATGATGGTGTTGAGGAAGATTGAGTGGACGGTTCAGTGGATGGTGTAGAAGATGGTTCAGTAGATGGTGTAGAAGATGGTTCAGTGGATAGTGTCGTAGATGGTTCAGCGGATAGTGTCGTAGATGGTTCAGTAGATAGTGTCGTAGATGGTTCAGTGGATGGGACCGTGGACGGTTCAGTGGATGGTTCAGTGGATGGTTCCGTGGACAGTTCAGTGGATGGTTCCGTGGACGGTTCAGTGGATGGTACCGTGGATGGTTCAGTAGATGGTCCAGTGGATGGTTCCGCGGACGGCTCAGTGGATGGTGTAGTAGATGGTTCAGTGGATGGTACCGTGGACGGTTCAGTAGATGGTGTAGTAGATGGTTCAGTGGATGGTACCGTGGACGGTTCTGTAGATGGTTCAGTGGATGGTTCAGTGGATGGTTCAGTGGATGGTTCAGTGGATGGTTCCGTGGACGGTTCAGTGGATGGTACCGTGGATGGTTCAGTAGATGGTTCAGTGGATGGTTCCGTGGACGGCTCAGTGGATGGTGTAGTAGATGGTTCAGTGGATGGTACCGTGGACGGTTCTGTAGATGGTTCAGTGGATAGTTCAGTAGATGGTTCAGTGGATGGTTCAGTGGATGATTCAGTGGATGGTTCAGTGGATGGCTCAGTGGATGGTTCAGTGGATGGTTCCGTGGACGGTTCAGTGGATGGTATAGTAGATGTTTCAGTGGATGCTACTGTGGACGGTTCAGTAGATGGTTCAGTGGATGGTTCAGTGGATGGTTCAGTGGATGGTTCAGTGGATGGTTCAGTGGATGGTTCAGTGGATAATTCAGTGGATAGTTCAGTGGATGGTTCAGTGGATGGTTCAGTGGATGGTTCAGTAGTTGGTGTAGTAGATGATTGAGTGGATGGTTCAGTGGATGGTTCAGTGGATGATTCAGTGGATGGTTCAGTGGATAATTCAGTGGATGGTTCAGTAGTCGGTGTAATAGATGGTTCAGTGGATGGTACCGTCGACGGTTCAGTAGATGGTTCAATGGATGATTCCGTGGACGGTTCAGTGGATGGTTCAGTGGATGGTTCCGTGGACGGTTCAGTTGATGGTTCCGTGGACGGTTCAGTGGACGGTTCCGTGGACGGTTCCGTGGACGGTTCAGTAGATGGTTCAGTAGATGGTTCTGTGGATGGTTCCGTGGATGGTTCAGTGGTTGTTGTAGTAGATGGTTCAGTGGATGGTGTAGTAGGTGGTTCAGTTGATGGTGTAGTAGATATTTCAGTGGATGGTACTGTGGACGGTTCAGTAGATGGTTCAGTGGATGGTTCAGTGGATGGTTCAGTGGATGGTTCAGTGGATGGTTCAGTGGATGGTTCAGTGGATGGTTCAGTAGATGGTTCAGTGGATGGTTCTGTGGACGGTTCAGTGGATGATTCAGTGGATGGTTCCGAGGATGGTTCAGTAGATGGTGTAGTAGATGGTTCAGTGGATGGTTCAGTGGATGTTTCAGTGGATGGTTCAGTAGATGGTTCAGTGGATGGTTCTGTGGACGGTTCAGTGGATGGTTCCGAGGATGGTTCAGTGGATGGTGTAGTAGATGGTTCAGTGGATGGTACTGTGGACGGTTCAGTAGTAGGTTCAGTGGATGGTTCTGTGGACGGTTCAGTAGATGGTTCAGTCGAAAGTGTAGTGGGTGGTTGAGTGGATGGTATAGTAGGTGGTTCAGTGGATGGTGTAGTAGGTGATTCAGTGGATGGTGTAGTAGATGGTTCAGTAGATAGTGTCGTAGATGGTTCAGTGGATGGTACCGTGGACGATTCAGTAGATGGTTCAGTGGATGGTACCGTGGACGGTTCAGTAGATGGTTCAGTAGATGGTTCAGTAGATGGTTCCGTGGACGGCTCAGTGGATGGTGTAGTAGATGGTTCAGTGGATGGTACCGTGGACGGTTCAGGTGATGGTGTAGTAGATGGTTCAGTGGATGGTACCGTGGACGGTTCTGTAGATGGTTCAGTGGATGGTTCCGTCGACGGCTCGGTGGATGGTGTAGTAGATGGTTCAGTAGATGGTACCGTGGACGGTTCAGTAGATGGCGTAGTAGATGGTTCAGTCGCTGGTTCAGTGGATGGTTCCGTGGATGGTGTAGTTGGTGGTTCAGTGGACGGTGTAGTAGGTGGTTCAGTGGATGGTGTAGTGGGTGGTTGAGTGGATGGTGTATTAGGTGGTTCAGTGGATGGTGTAGTAGATATTTCAGTGGATGGTACTGTGGACGGTTCAGTAGATGGTTCAGTGGATGGTTCAGTAGATGGTTCAGTGGATGGTTCAGTGGATGGTTCAGTGGATGGTACAGTGGATGGTTCAGTGGATGGTGTAGTAGATGGTTCAGTCGATGGTTCAGTGGATGGTTCCGTGGATGGGGTAGTAGGTGGTTCAGTGGACGGTGTAGTAGGTGGTTCAGTGGATGGTGTAGTGGGTGGTTGAGTGGATGGTGTAGTAGGTGGTTCAGTGGATGGTGTAGTAGATGGTTCTGTGGATGGTGTAGTAGGTAGTTCAGTTGATGGTGTAGTAGATATTTCAGTGGATGGTACTGTGGACGGTTCAGTAGATGGTTCAGTGGATGGTTCAGTAGATGGTTCAGTGGATGGTTCAGTGGATGGTGTAGTAGATGGTTCAGTCGATGGTGTAGTAGGTGGTTCCGTGGATGGTGTAGTAGGTGGTTCAGTGGATGGTGTTTCTGTGACTGGATCTTCATATACAGGACAGTCTTCTTCAGGTACTCCTGGTGGTATATATCGAATCGAATCGACCAATATAATCGTTTCAGCCGCAGCCGTTCCAAGTAGAGTTATCTGAAAAAATAAAAAATAAATAATTAGTGTGTTGGTAGTACAATGAATATATTTTTGTATGTGCACAAACGTTGAAGTTATTCTCTATGTAGTGATTTGCTTCCATAGGAAGGGGAGTAAATACAAGAATTTATTAAAATAAAAAGTGTATCATAAACAATAATTGTTGATGGTTGTGTAGCTAATAACATGTCGAACATATCATGGAGATAATTGCAATATTAGGTTTATAAAAATTGAATGTAAATCGTAGTTGTACAATGTAGACCCATTAGACAAATTATATGTATATATTATATTGTATTTGTTTATGTGTAAGTATATCTTATTTTTCTTCATTATACCATTAATAATTTAATCCGTATTTTGATAGCACCGTCCCGTTTCCGAATTTTAAAACCTTTCACCAAAGGTTGTCTTGCAAAGATTGCTTTTAGCAATAAGACCGCCTTTGCAGGCTTTATATAAAATAGAAACAATATTTGTAACTTTTATATTTATATAGTGTGCAATAAAGATTAAATAAAAAAAGTTAATAAATAAAAAAAAATTGAAATACATAGTTTTGGTAAGCTTTTTGAAGTAGGTAATTAGTAGAATTGCACAGTATAAATTGCGATATATGTAATTGTCATTTTGACATGATTTTAACACGATGAAAACTGTTATTTATAATATATTCTATTTAGACCTGTATTAAATAAAACTATCTTTTCAGATTATTTCGCGGATTTATTTTGATTTTTGGTTCCGGACGTTTCGAATGCTTTACAGCATCCATGGTCACGGGAGAGACTGAGGTGTTACATGTCTTTAAGGTATAGTTGTTACAGACAGCCTACCCACAATTAACAAAATGAAAATTGCACCAATTACATTACAATATTTTTTAACTTTAAACATTTTTATAATTTTAATTATAATTGAATATGGAATATTATTTATTTAATTTTTGCTATTATTTTTATAATTATTACAATTTTAAAAAATATTAATTAGTTATCTATATTTAGTGTTGCCATTATTATATTTATAACCAAAAAGAAAAATATAGAATATAGTATTAATTATTTAAGCCATATAATTGTTCTATGTGTAATTTAAAAAGTTAAAATTAATTAAGGATAATAATTTTAATTTAGTTTGCTATTATTTAAAAACAACTCACTAAGCAACACTATTACTATATACTTTTACAAATGAAAAGCATTAAAGCAAGCTGTAAAGCATTCGAAACGTCGGGAACCAAAAATCAAAATAAATCCGCGAAATAATCCGAAAAGATAGTTTTATTTAAAAATGTCAAACATTCGCGTAAATCTAAGAAAGTATTAGACCTGTATTAAATAATTAAAGTACTCCTTTAAATTATGTCCCACTGACAATGTTTACATAGTTTGTTACAAGTCATAATAGTAAAACTTTTATAGGTGTTTAAACCTAAGGATTTGGAAGGAAGAATGGTATTATGCCTCGATGATATCTTATTTATTAGTTTACTGAAACATCAATCGATATTTTCTATAAATATATTATGTCACTATGCGGAACGAAACGAAAGCTTATTGAGTAAACCTGTGTGTTGGTTGTTATATTATGCATGTTGTCTTCAAAATTAGTTAAATATTCTTTGAATTATAAAACTAATAGCAAATGACAATCCCGAAAAAATTAGGTTTGACACCTATCCGTCTGTGACATTGTTGTACTCCAATGGATGGGTTGACTTAGACCGAGTTTTTTTTTACAAAGCTATTTAACTGGAAAGATTCTTAAATCTGTGTTACTTCTAAACGTCCTACTTTATTAATAATTTAGGGGTTTTATGAATTAATTTTGGTTTAAAATATTTTGTTTCTATGAGTATATAGAACTATGACTAGAAAAATACTTTGTTATGTAAAAAAAAAACATTGTATAGTTTATATTTTACCAATGGATACTTACTAATCACTGGTGCTATTTGATTAGATAAGATTAAAGTTTAGATTTACATCTTATTTTTTAAGTTGTTATAATTAAACTATCATTATCAACCCCTTTTTGTTCACTGCTCGATATAGGTTTCTTCTTATTTACGCAACTGAATTCGATCTCTAGTTTAACGCATCTAACCGCTAACCCAACTACTGTACGGATCGGATCGTATTCTATGTACATTATCTTTGCCGAGATGCGGTATCCATTCTAGAAACCGTCTACTTCCTCGGTCTTCGGTTTTGCGATAAATGTAACCGACCCACTTGTATTAAAATGAAATATACATATAACCATGATTAGCTTTTGAGAGTAGAGAATATTATGATTAATAAATAAAATGTTGTAAGTGTTTACCAAACAAATTTTACCTGTTAATATAATACAAAATATCTATGCAATCATAGCTAAAAGACGATAGTTAATATATTACTAAGATTAATAATAAAATGATCATCTATACATATAATAAAATTGTAACTAAGTCGATACTTTTTACCGCAGGACAATATCTCATTTTTGAGAATAAATACGAAAACTGAAACCTAAGAATTTGGTTGTTGGTCATCTGAACGCGGGCGGAGCCGCGGGCAATGCTAGTACATATATATGAATATTGTTTATACACGTTTGGATATAAATGAACCGCTTTTGTTTCTAAAACTACTAAACTATATTTCAACAATGAAAACAAATTTTGGTCGAATGTTTATTAAAATTAAGTAGTGGGAGTAATCGCGCTCGTTCAGTCGGTAATCAGCCATTGATTACAATGAAAACATCACAAATACAAGATGGCGCTTTAAAAAATTGTTTGCATGAGGGCAGACAGAAAAAGGTTCTAATAAAATTACTAGTTATTTTAAAAAAAAATGTGAAAAATTGATTTTCTTAAAAAGAAATTTGAAGAAGAAAATTTTTTTACACTATATAAAGTTATTAAGTTAAACTTATCTAAATACAAAATTTGATCCAAATCATTTGAGCAGTTTCCGAGATACATAAAATGCACTTCTATACAAATTACTCATTTTAATATTATAAGATAGCGTTTGCTATTTTTGAAAGATAGGTTTATTTCAACCATTAGACAATACTGTTAATTGTGAATAATCTATACTAATATTATAAATGTGAAAGTGTGTTTGTTTGTTCTTCTTTCACGTCGAAACGGAGTGACGGATTGGCGTGATTTTTTGTGTGGAGATAGTTGAAGGGTTGGAGAGTGACATAGGCTACTTTTTACCGAGGGAGAATATCTAATTCCTACGGGAAAACACGTTATAGCACAATCCAAAAAAATATTTATGATCAGAATTACTTGAAACTTGGCATTAATACTCTTCGATAAAATTAAATAAATAGAAATTCATCCTATAAGGGTAAAATGAAAAAAGGGTAAGGATGAAAGTTTGTATGAAACCTTTTTAGAGCTATTTTTGTACATTTCGCGCGGGCGAAGCCGCAGGTTCTGCTAGTATGTATATAATTAAAACATACTTGGTAGTATTCTATACATATATCTCAGATAAACGAAATATATAATTAAATTTGACTTTAAATGAGGTAGATGTTCCTAAATTACTCAAGAACTTCAGAGTTACCGAGCTTTATACTTCCAAAGTCATTAACAAAGTGAGTGTTCCTGATATACTCGTATTCTTACTTATTCATAAGTTAAAACAAAACGCAAATTTAACTTTTTATGCTACGAAGCACTCGGCACGTAAGTCAGGCTCATACTTGTTTGCTATAAAGAGCAAGACGTTTTCAAGAAAATATCGTTATAAGTGAATCTGAGCTATCTAAGGGATTTAATAGAAAAAGGATATCAATAAGCCACTAATAGTGTAACTCTGCCGCAACTTTTGATCAGATGACGAATTAAGTACAGATTTATGTAAACACACACAGTATAATTAGGTATGCATAATATCTTCCAAGTCTATTAGAGGTACCACATAAAAAGTACATCTTTCTCTCGTATGTTTACTAAAATGATAGTAAATAAAGAAAAAATGATGAACTAGGTCCTAACGATGTTTTCTTCTGACCGTATTAGCCATAATTAGGAGTGTTGGAAATGATCTAGTAAATGAAAATTTCAGAGGTGCGACATTCGGTATATCACTCTCACTCTCTTTAGTCTATTTCCAATGTAAGCATACTCATAATGGGCCACTGCGACGTTCCATTTTATAGCAGTAATGATTTTTATTGTAGTAATACTTTTTACATTTAATCCAGACTTAAATGTAATTGGAAATTATTCTACCAAACAAAAAGATGGAACTCTTGGATATAGTGACAACAAATAGAAACAACACACATTTAGTATTATACTCGTATTAGTCGAATAGACTTACCACTGTGTAGCATTAACAAAATATTAAAATCACTTACGTAACCCATAAACGAATCGACACCAAAAAGGCTAATATCCTCTTTTCTCCAACCGTTCTCGAAACCCACTGTATTCCTGGTAATGAACGTATTCCTAACCGTTACATCGTTACCACCTTCCACTATCTGTTGTACAAAGATTGACAAAAAGGCACTGTCATCTTGTAAATCCAAATAAGCATTGACTTCGATAATTCCAGAATCTGACAATGAGAAAGTAAAAGACGACGCACAGTTGGTCCCATTTACATACATAAACATCGAAGAATTAGGGTTTGGAGGCTGAACATGGATATCGTCATAGCTCCCTAAATGCCACATAGAAGTATCAGAACACACGTCGGTTTCATTATTTAAAGAGTCATTAAAACCTTCTTCAAAGTTAAATATTTCACAATCATCACACATCACACTGTAACAGAAGAGCAGTAGTATAAAGCAACGCCCGTCCATTTACCACACTTGTAATAGACTATACTTGTGTTATGATAAATGCTGAATTTCTATGATTAGAACATATTTATAAGGTGCGGTACATGTGTGAGTGCTTAAGCCGATAAAGAATTACAAAATTCTTTAAAAATTCATTTCTTATTTGTTAAGCTTCTGATTACTTAAATTATTTTTTTTCTATATATAGAGTAAATTTACAATTAAGATTACAATTTCAGTTTATTTGTTAAGTATTTTCTTTCTCTTAAGATCCTTTTTCTTTAATGTCGGGAAATGCATTTACGCTTACCACCTGCGATCATACAGGTTTGTAGATATGTGGGATTCATCGGCCTTCCAACAAAACCCAACGAAACCGTCTCCGTCTTAATGGGACGCCGCGGGAACGCTTACTCTCTTAACCACGACTCCCCGATGGCAGACTACAACAACCATGTTTGGTTTATAATCTTGAACCAAATCGGTAGAGCTACTTACAGAATTGTACAACTTTTACTGATTACAAAGGTAAATCGAAATGCAAAAGTCAGCAACTCCGTAAGAAAACAAAGCTCGGTAATCAAACCCAAGATATAGGTACGAACTTAAAAGTACTTATAATAATAAAGCTTTATTTGTCTACACATTTTACAAAAAAATTTTAGAAAATGAAAGTAAAAGAAATTAGTACAATTTACTTGTTGTTGGTGTGTAGTCCCTCTTGGGTAAAAGCCTCCTCCAACTTGCACCATTCCTCGCGGTTATTGGCAACTTTCATCCATTCATCTCCTGCTATGTTTTTGATATCATCCTGCCATCTTTTTCTTTGTCGACCTACATTCCTCTTGCCTATTGGACCTTTCCACTTTGTTATTTGATGTGTCCATCTTTTGTCCTGATATCTGGCTATGTGTCCTGCCCATTTCCATTTTTGCCTTAGACTATGAAGGAGTGCATCAGTTACATTGGTTTTCTTGCGGATGTGTGTATTTCTTGTTTTTTGTATTCTCCTCAATTTTAGGATACTTCTCTCCATTGCATGTTGGCAGGACATAATTTTATTTTTTACTCTTTCTGTATATACCCATGTTTGGCTTGCATAGGTAAGACTTGGGAGGATGCACGAGTCCATTATTACTTTTTTCATCTTTGGGCTGTAGTTTCCTTTAAGAATTTCTTTTTGAGCCCAAAATTTTTTCCATGCTATGTTTATTCTTCTATCTATTTCTTTTTCATTACTGTTTGCTTCAAAGGAGACTTGTTTTCCTAAATATACATAGTCATTCACATATTCTATTGATTTTCCTCCTATTGTGATTGGTTTTCTAGAGCTGTTTGTCATTATTTTTGTTTTTGATGCATTCATTTTTAGACCTATTTTTTTGGCTTTGGGTGTTCAGGCTCTGTAGCATGTTTTCTAGTTCTGTTGCAGATTCACTGAACAGAGCTATGTCATCTGCGAACCTCAAGTGTGTTAGCCTTTTATTTAGTATCCATATGCCGTTGTTTTTCCACTTTAGACTTTGAAATATGTTTTCGAGGACAGCTATAAATAGTTTGGGTGAGAGAGGATCGCCTTGTCTCACTCCTTTACAAATTTCGAACTCTTCTCCCTGCCTTTCTAGTTTTATTAAGCTTACACTCTTAGCATATATATTCTTTATTATATTTATGTATTTTTCATTTATGTTATTTTTTCTCAAAGCCTTCCATATAGATGGGTGTGATATGCTGTCAAATGCTTTATAATAATCTACAAATGCTATGTACAGTGGCCTATTGTACTCTTTATATTTTTCTATTATTTGTTCTGTAACATGTATGTGGTCTATTGTTGAGTAGTGTGGACGGAAGCCAGCTTGCTCTATTGGCTGGTTTTTATCGATTTCTGGTGATATTCTACTTAAAATAATTGAATAGAACAGCTTATAGATTGTAGATAATAGACTGATAGGCCTGTAGTTGTTCATGTCAAGCGGATTCCCTTTTTTATAAAGCAGTATTATGTATGATCTGCACCATTGTTTCGGTATTTGTTCTTGTTCTACTATCATGTTAAAAAGTTTTGTCAGGTATGGTACCAGAATATGTGCACCAAGTTTCAAGACTTCGTTAGTTATTTTATCAGGTCCAGGGCACTTTTCAGATTTTAATCTCTTTATATGTCTTGCTATCTCGTGTTCGTTTATAGGATCTAGTGAGTTTTCCTTTAATTGAGATTCTATTATAATGTTAGTTTCGGGTCGTTCGACCTTCTGAGCTCCTTCTTGGGTTGGTCTTCTGTAGAGATCTGAGTAAAATACTGTTGCGCGCTTTATTATGTCTTCTCTGTTTTTTATTTCATATTTTCCATCATTTAGGCCCTGTATCCACTTTTTGTGCGATGACAGTTCTTTAAAGGCTCTCTTTGAGCTTCTAAATGTTGCCATATTTCTTTCTATGATTATTTTTCTATGGTTTTCATAATCTTGCCTAATTGCTCTGTTTGTCTTTTTGTATAGTTCCTTTAATTCATGCCTCATTTCTTTAGATTTATCTTTTTTATTTAGGAGTTCTGTACGTCGAGAAATCATTTTCAATGTTTGGTCGCTAATAATTTTGGGTTTTTTGTGCCTGGTTTTTATTTCTTCGTCCCGTTCTAGACTATTTGTGATTGTTTTTTCCAGTGCGGTGCTCAGAGCTTGTACATCTTCTATGTTCTTCATTGTTTCATTTAGTATTGTTACATTACCTTTTAGCTTTTTTAGATAAGTTTCGTTTTCTTTTGTAGACTTTAGCATGTTGTTTAGGGCTTTAAATGACTTCCTGTTGGTTTTTGGTGTCTGAAAATTCATAGAGCATCTAACCATTCTATGGTCGGATGGGAAGTTTATTCTGTTCAGTACTTCTAAGTTTGTGATTACTTTCGGGTTGTAACTTAGTATAAAGTCGATTTCGTTTTTAGTGTTTTGGTCTGGGGATATCCAGGTCCATTTGCGAGAGTTTTGTTTCTTAAAGTATGTGTTCATCACTGACAGTTTATTTTCGTATGCGTATTGAATTAGTCGTTCGCCTCGTGAGTTTCGTTGCCCGTATCCATATCTTCCCATTATCATATGTTCTTCATGTTTAGGGTACCCGATTTTTGCGTTAAAATCTCCTATTACTAGTAAGGTCTTATCTGCTTGTTCCTGCGCTTTTTTGTATGTCCATGTAAAATTTTTCTATTTCCTCCTCACTAGAACTCTCTGTAGGGGCGTAAACTTGGATAATCGACAGTGGCACCTCTTTGAAGCTCATCTTTAGCAAGCCTACTCTCTCTGATATACCTACAAAGCTTACAATGTTGGTCTTCAAGGTTTTCTTTATTAGGAAGCCTACACCATGAAGCCCCTCTGCCTCACCTATGTAACAGAATATATATTCTTTATGTTCTTCTATATTACATCCTTTTCTTTTAATTTCTGCGAGCCCTATAATGTCCCAATTGATTTTTTCTATTGCAATATTTAATTCTAGCATTCTTACTGTTGATGATAGTGATCTTACGTTGTAGGTGCATATTTTCAAATTTAGTAATTTTTCTGGTTCATTGTTCTTATTTTTGGATTTTCTATTGTTGTGTTTAGTGGTTTTATTTAGTGGAGGGTTGTGGTCATCTTCCCCCACGGTGACCAACCGGCTTGGGGTGCTGATTTCTGTTATTCCATTTGACTGTGTTGGTAGATTTTTCTTATTCGGGTTCCAGTTGCAGGAGGATTTTTTTAGTTTTTTGTTGTTTTTGGCTCTGACAGCGATGATGTTCTTCCTCGTACTACATAGTTGAGTATGCCTGGTTTTACTATTCCTTGTGAATTATTTGCAGGTGAGTCGTTAGATGGGCCACGTTTGTCATTAATCTGTTTCTTCTTGATGTTCGTTGGTGGTGCTTCTGGTGATTCCGTCTTATCTCTTTTCCTCTTCTCTCGATTTGAATCTTTTGGATTTTTTACTACTAGCTTGTTGTATTTCAGATATGCCAAGTTTCCCTTCTTCCTTTCTTCTTCCAATAAGGGTAGAAGTTTTTTGCGAGTTTCCAAAACCTCTTTAGGATAGTCTTCTTTGAGATAGATACCCTGTTGGAGGTTGGATTTACTCCTTTGAATTAGGTGTTTCTTCCATGTTGTTGTAAAAGAGGCTACAATTGGTCGGTTTTTGTTTGAAGGCTGTTCAATTCTATAGATTTTAGCTATCTCATGACTTTCTAGGTGTACGCCCATCTCTACTATTATATCTTTTAAATAGTCTACTAATTCATATTCTGTTTTCTCTTTCTCTTCTATACCGAAAAATACTAGATTGATTTTTCTTTTGTCTTTTTCCATAGATTCTATCTTGTGTTCTAGCTGTGTTATTCTTGTTTTTAAGGTATTGTTTTCTTCTAAAAGTGTTTTCATTTTTTCATCTAGTGCTTGCATTACATTACTGGTGAAATTGGTGGTTATTATTAAAGCTTGTTGATTCAACTTCTCATCTAATTTCGTTAGTAACCATTCCATATTTTGACCCATATTTTGGTAGAATTTGTTATTTTTTTGCTGGCAACACTTTAACTGTCAAAGTACGAGATTATTCGTTATTGTAAGGTTGGCACTACAATCACTAATGACAGAAGTACGTTCTATAATCTATGATGGCGTTTGTAATTTATTAGATCGACGAGCACTTTGTAGTTTGGGGGTATACGTAGGTATTTACTAGAATGTTTTCACTAATTGCACTCTTTTCCAGTTTCCACTAAGATTTCTTCGTAGTTATGAAGCTATGATGATTTTCTTGAGATATTATCGCAGTTTTATAGTTAACTGACTGTTTTTTGTAGTGTTTGTGAATTTTTTCGACAGAGCTGACTATTATGCGTGTTTACGTTCTCACTACCGGAACCTTAAAAGTACTTACAAACCAGCAATTCGCGCGTTTTGCTATCACTGCCCTTTGGTTCTTAAACATCCGATACTTGAGTACTGGGTAAGGGTAAGTTTTCTCACTTTTTTACTCGTGGC